CAATCAGTGGCATGACGATTATATTTATAATAAATACATATATATATATATATATATATATATATATATATATATATATATATATATATATATATATATATATTGTGTGTGTGTGTGTGTATATATATATATATATATATATATATATATATATATATATATATAGTTTAAAAAAAAACCAGGAAATCCGCATGGGTTTGTTAACGGTATAAAGGAGGATAAAATCACTCTAGAGCTCAATGTAAACTCGATATCAATATATAACTTCCGTTAAGTTAACCGTTTAAATGTGTCAATGTCTGCTAACTCACTCATGTCTTCTCTCCCCCCTTACTTCCTCACTTCGTTAATTTACATATGTTTAATACGGCCCGTCAAAAATGTTTCTTTTTTTTTTTTCATTTCAACCTTTGGAAGTAAAGTCTGATGATCCGCAGTCCTTTTAAAAGGGCTGTGGTGAAATAATTTATTACATGGAACCTTAAAGTGGTCTGTTTTATTTAAAATATACATACATATATATATATATATATATATATATATATATATATATATATATCAGAAGAACACTTATATGTGTTTTCGCGTAAAATTTATGTCAGTTATTTATACCAATACACACACACACACATATATATATATATATATATATATATATATATATATAATTCTGCATGCGCGTTCATGGAAAAAATGATTGCGTGTATCATTTCCATCCGTGTAAGCCCTGACTGCGTCTATTTTTGTGAAACTCTCCAAATGTAAAGAGTCTTATCACAGCAGGTTATCAAAACTTGACGTGGCGGCAGACTGACTTTGCCAATATAATATGTTGTCACGAAAAGTCTAATTTAGAAACTTTTAATACAAAACCATGACAAGTGCGAATGAGAAAATAATAGAAAACTCATAATTTTTTTTTCTCACATATATATATATTTCTTTGCGTCTGCTTTAGTTAATTTTAACACAGCGAAGGCGTGATATTCGCTTTCTGTTCGTTTTAATATTCCACCATTCGAACAGAACTTTCATCAAAGTTTTGGCACTTGCTGGCATCTTCTTCGAGATGTTGCACATATATGTCCGCATCTTTCTAAATTTACATATGATAAAATAAAAAGCAAATAGAAAACAGTTATCAATCTAACATGTTTTACTTTTATTAAAGCTTCATCAGAGAATGGGATAAAAAGAACATAATTCTTCATCTAGAAAATACTTCGACGGGGTCCTAATAAATATTTAACATTTATAAATACATATCAAAGATACTACAAGGTAATCAAAAAAGTTCTGTCCGTTTTTTGATTAGTAATTGAATGAAGTTGAAATATATACGAAATGCGTGTAGCAATTGTTTTTAAATTTGGACAGCCGGAAGTAGGAACATCAGACGTTATAAAAAACACACACACCATGCCTGGCCATCAGTTATAAGCCGGACAGCTGTGAGAAGGATGGAAGTGTCTAGAGATCTCGTTCGGGGCTGTTTGCTTTATGACTTCAAAGTGGGCTTATCAGAAGCTGCATCAAAAGGCCGCATATGTCAAGTGTTTTTGTGGATAGTGCTGTGGATGAACGTACTGCAAGGCGTTGGTTTCGAAAATTCAAGTCGGGAGATTTGTCTCTCCATGATGAGCCTCGCAGTGGACGACCCCAGGTCTTGAATGATGGAGTCCTGAAGGCGACCATTGAAGAGAACAGTAGTCTAACGTGTGGTGAACTTGCAAGACAGTTCAACGTTTCCGATGAAACAGTTAGACTTCACCTGCACCGCCTAGGTAAGACGTACAAACTTAGCAAGTGGGTTCTGCAAACGCTGTTGGAGGTCCACAAAGGACAACGAGTGGCAGCCTGGGTATCGCTGCTTTCTCGCCACCGTACCGAATCCTTATTCAATCGAGTGCTTACCAGTGATGAAAAGTGGGTTCTGTACGAAACTCCCAAACGTTCCAGACATTGGTTGTCTCCTCAGGAAGCTGTCCCTCACACCGCAAGACCGCCTATGCACCCACGCAAGATTATGCTTTGGTGGACAGGTCGTTAAGTGGTTCATTATGAACTGCTACCAATGGGCCAAACGGTCACTGGAGACCTATACTCGCAGCAATTGAAACGTGTGCAACAGGCATTGCGCCAGAAGGATCCAGCACTGGTGAATCGTAAAGGTGTGCTTTTCCTCCATGACAACGCCAGGCCGTATGTCGCGCGAGTGGTCAGGGATACCATACAGCAACTTAGGTGGGAGACTTTGTGCCATCCACCTTATTCATCTGACCTTGCGCCATCCAATTACCACCTCTTCCACTCCCTGGATAATCATCTTCGTGGGAAATCCTTCACCAATGGAGCAGACTTGCACAAAGCCCTCACGGACTTCTTTGCGTCAAAATCCCCCGAATTCTACCGCAAGGGCATTGAACAGCTGGAGACACGTTGGCAGAAGGTGCTGGATGCCGATGGCAATTACTTCGAAGACTAAATATAAGTTACACATAGTGTGAAGCGTTTTCTTTTTTTTCCTTTAAAAACAGACAGAACTATTTTGGTTACCTTGTATATTACATCACCAACTTTTACCGAATCCATTCTTAAAGAATCTAACTTATGTTTATCTAAAACAAATGGCATGTACCTAAAAACGTTCCCAAATCAACATGCGTCCAAACACCGAGCTTACACACACATAACTGACGAATATCCATTGTCATCTGAGTTCCACACAGACAAACTAGAATTATGATACATCTACATACATAAAGAAAATATTAACGTTTTTTTTTCAGTTAGGCTTGGAACTCGTTCATTTCTTGGAGCTTCAAAAAGACGGGTTGTCTGTCCTTGAATCCACAACGCCATAAATTATACTAACGTTTTCTAACAAGTCAAATGCGCGTGAAGCCTGATTAACCAATTTAAATCAAACTATATCTTATCCGCTGAAGAAGCTTTAATAAAAATGAAACACTTTAAATTGTTATTTGAATTTCCGATTTGCTTTTTTATTTATCATTTGGGTGATTAAAATTACATATTTATATATATATATATATATATATATATATATATATATATATATATATATATATATAAAGTACACAAACACTAATATTCCATGGTTATAATTTATTACATTGGAATCGTAAATACGATCAATTCATCAGAAATACAAATTCAAAAGAAATCGATTCAATGTAATAAATTATAACCATGGAATATTAGTGTTTGCGGATATTTTATATTATATTTTTACTCTGTCCTGGAAATTGAGTTCTACCTGGATTCTATCCTTTGTTAAGAATATATATATATATATATATATATATATATAAGAATATTGACCACTAAACTAGATATCAATATATATATATATATATATATATATAATATGACCGATATATTTACTTATAATATAATTGGTAGTAATGTTTGAAAAACCTTCATATTTCGTGGATGTCGTAGAACAAACTAGTACCCAAGGAAAAATGAGAATAAAAACCAAAGAACCAAGAACATGAAATTGAGGCGAAAACCATCGTCCAGAGTTCAAGCCCAGAGTAAAAAAAAAAAAAAACTACAAAAATAAATTATATTCGTAAAGTGCTCAATACATAGAGTAGACCGAACCTAATATAATTTTTTTTTATATATATATATATATATATATATATATATATACATGTGTGTGTGTGTGTGTGTGTGTGTGTGTGTTTGTATTCAAATAATATGAAAAAACAGTCAGATTTATAATACAAAGTTCTTTAGCAACAAATTTAAATTTTAAAAATTAGTCCAATGAATACAAAGTAAAGCAAACTATTATAATTTTTTTTTAAATATGTCTCCGTCGCGACACAGAAATTATAATGTTTCGAAACCGAAACTTAAATCCCCAAATTGAAATTTACAATTTAAACTTAAAATTCGGAGCTTGGTTCCAATCTCAAGCGATTCCAATGTAGGAAATCAGTGTAGCCAAACAGAATTCTTTAATAACTCCGAACCTTAATTGACTTAAAATTTGTAGAAAAAAGATATACATTGCTTTTACATTGAGATTTTAAAAAAGCCAACACTGGTTCCTTAATAAAAAAAAATGATGGGAATTCTCTTAAGACCACCAAAATAAAGTAAATTCATTTTAATCCAACATATTTTTATTGCATCAAACGTTACTTATAGTGGATACCCGTATTTTAGTAGACGTTCTCTTCATTTGAAACAGTATTTATTTCATCTATCTGCGTAATCAGGAAAATATAATACAGAGAACGTCTATGTCCTATGATTGGGTTCAAGCATGTAACAGGCTATCGCTACTCGATGTTGGCGTCTTTTATATTTGAACACGTTTTACACGCTGATATTGATACCATTTTACCCATAAACATATCAAAGCAAAAAATACATTTTTGATAAATATATATATATTTATATGTGTATACGCAATATATATATGTGTTTATATATAGTGTGTAAAGAGGGTGAAAAGGAATCTTCCGTTTCAAATTAGTAGAATATATATGTTAGGAGATATATATATCTATATATATATATATATATATATATATATATATATATATATATATATATATATATTTAAAATATAGAAAATAGGAAGGAACTCGTTGGTAAATAATCCAAAGTTCAAAAAAAAAATGATTTAAAAAAGAATTTAAAAAAATGATGGAACAGAGCTTACTTTAACTCAATTTAATTCAAATAATTATATTGAATTTTTCGGCTTTTGTTTTGAAACATGAGACCTCTTATGTCGCGAGTTGGAATCATATTTTTAAATAAAAATTATATATATATATATATATATATATATATATAATACCAATAGTATAAAAATATAGGATATATATATATATATATATATATATATATATATATATATATATATATATATACCAATAGTAAAAAGATGAAAAAAAACTGCAGGCAGAAATTTCATCTATCTATGCATCTATTTCAGTCTGTTCAATCTACAGCTATATCTATCTAGCTATCTATCTATCTATCTATCTCTCTGTATATCTGTATATATATATATATATATATATATATATATATATGCATATATCTATCTGTTCATATCTATCTATCTCTAGATGTATTCACATCTTTATCTATCTATAGCTTTATACTACTCTCTCTCCTCCTTTATATATATATATATATGTGTGTGTGTGTGTGTGTGTGTGTGTGTGTGTGTGTGTGTGTGTGCGTTTGTGTGTGTGTGTGTGTATTCATATTTCTTCATATATCTATGCAATCTATCTCTCTGTATTTACTTTTTTCAACTATGTATCTAATTATTTCTGTTCCACATCCATCTACCTCCCCATCTATCTATCTATCAATCGATCGATCAATCTATCTATCTGATTCTCTTCATTATCTATCTCTCATTCTTTTCCTATCTATATGGTCATCTAAAAGTATATTTAGGAACATCACAAATTGATTGATGATCTTATCGAAATAATCAATGGCTTTGCCTAATAACTTTCTCCGGTAATCCAATTTACGCAAATTATATTTCTCCTACGAGAACGTTCTAAATACACAAGAATTAAATGCAGTAGACTTCTTATTTCATATATTCCGACAGCTCTCCAGAGAAAATCTCTTAATTCTTCACTCATTATCTAAAGTTTCCATTTCCGTTATTTTTCTCAGAAAGAATATGTATGCACGAATATGGCTATCGGTGGCGATTGAGTGGCACCAATCTCTTTATATCTCTAGCACCTTCCTCAGTATCCTCATTATTATTATTTTTATTATTATTATTTTTATTTTTATTATTATTATTATTATTATTATTATTATTGTTATTATTATTATTATTATTTTTGTTATTTTTATTTATTATTATTATTATTTTTATTATTATTATTTTTCTTATTATTATTATTATTATTTTATTAATTTTATTATTATTGTTATTATTTTATTATCGTTATTATTATTATTATTATTATTTTATTATTATTTTTTTATTATTATTATTATTATTTTAATTATTATTATTTTCTTATAATTATTATTAATATTTTTATGATTATTATTATTTTTCTTATTATTAAATATTTTTTTTATTAATATTATTCATTATTATTTTTATTTTTATTATTTTTTATTATTATTATTATTATTATTATTATTTTATTTCTGGTGTATACTCATTTCGGGGTCCCAACAAGTGACCTAAGAATAAGAATATAAGAATAGAATCATGACATTTTCCACTGAGCATTATTTTTTTACATAGACACAGCCCTTCGTAAGCCGCGGGCTGTACTTGTGAGTACAATTTTTTGAATTTCCTTAAGGCATGTTCTACCAGGAATCCCTTCAATGAGTCTTTTCCATTCAATTTGAGGGCTCCAACTACAACTGAAGCTGTTGATGCCCTCATATGCCACATTTTTTAGATTTCGATCAATGTCCTTGTATTTTGATAGATACATTACAGTTGGCAGGGACTGCCATGTCAAGGCGATTAGCTTTAATTGTTCTGTTTGTGTGTCTTGTGAAGTCCCGTAAACTTGTTACAGGTCCTATCTTTGTAATCGGATCTGGGTGGTGTTCATACCAATTTCTTGCAGTTTCCTTTCTGTAAAAGGTACAGACTTTCCAATGCGTATAGTGACCCTCTCTGTCATGTTTTATATTCAGTGGGTGCAATAACCGCGCAACCTAATACAATACAGTCAATTGTTTCTGGATATTTATCACAGAACCTGAATTTTGGGCGAACATAATTTTTCAATATATGTGCTAGGAAATATCTAGTTGACAAGCATTCGTCATTTGCAGCAAGAATAAAACCTTCGGTTTGAACTTTTATACATGCACTACGTAGCCATCGTTTCTGTATCTGTTCGATTGCATTTGCCTCCTTTTTTAAGGGTTTTGCAGCTGCAGTAGGTGCATTATGTTTTACTTGCCTTTCTTCACCCACTTGAAACTCCATTTTAAAATTGTTGGCTTCCTTTATTACTGAATAAATCGACTTAATTCTTTCATGTTCTTTGACACAGATCATCATCTATTCTTCTTTGGTTTCCAAGTATATTTGAAGGTCGATCGTTGCAGTTTTGTAAGACAGTTCTAGTTGAACTAATCCTCCTCCTCCTTCGGATCTGGGCACATACAGACATACAGCTTTGGAATGATACAGGCGGTGGCAAGTGAGAAGCTTTCTCGTTTTGGCGTTCATTCGCTTAATGTCAGATATGGTTTAATTAAGGATGTTGAAACTGTATTGTACCACGGGAACAGCCAAGGTGTTTATGGCTGATATTCTGTTTTTTTTTTAAAATTAAACTCGGTATTCAATACCAGAAGCACACGCCTAAAGTATTCTTTACTTACATTATCCTTCATTTGGGAATGCACTATTTCAACTCGTCCGCTAATTCCTAGATACCTATAGGCTTCTTCTTGTTCCAGTTCCTTAATCTTTGTTACAAAGTCGAGATCTACTAAGTATGTTTTTGTAATTCCTACTTTCTTGGATGTTACTTTTGCACATTTATCTAATCCGACGTCCATATTATGTCGTCACTGAAACATTTTACACTATGGGGGGAGACGCTTCAAATTATTGTCGCCTTTGACAAAGAGTTTGAGATCATCTATATAGAGTAGGTGATTGAACAATTTCTTGTTTACTTTGGATCCATAACTAATAGTTAGTTCATGCGTAAGGGGGATTCAAAACAGACAAAACAGAAGGGGCAAGAGAAGGTGTCCTTGTAAAATTCCTCGTTGGCTATTCAGGTGTTTGGTGGTGGCAGTGCCTCTGGCGGGATTTATCTATAATGTGGTTTTCTACATTCCAGTGAAAAGTTTAAGGAAATTTATTCTCACTGAGGAGATCTTTTACATTATCTATCTATCTATCTATCTATCTATCTATCTATCTACCTATCTATCTATCTATCTCAGTCTGTTCTTAGCTATCTGTCTCAGTCTGTTCGTATCTATCTATCTATCTATCTATCTATCTCAGGGTGTTCATATTTATCTATCTATCTATCTATCTATCTAATCAGAATCTCTTAATTATCTATCTATCTATCTATCTATCTATCTATCTATCTATCTATCTATCTAAAATCTCAGCGTGTTCATATCTATCTATCTATCTATCTATCTATCTCAGCGTGTTCATATCTATCTATCTATCTATCTATCTTAGCGTGTTCATATCTATCTATCTATCTATCTATCTCATCGTGTTCATATCTATCTATCTATCTATCTTAGCGTGTTCATATCTATCTATCTATCTATCTTAGCGTGTTCATATCTATCTATCTATCTATCTCATCGTGTTCATATCTATCTATCTTAGCGTGTTCATTATCTATCTATCTATCTATCTATCTATCTATCTATCTCAGCGTGTTCATATCTATCTATCTACCTATCTATCTCACTCTGTTCATACCTATTTATCTATGCGTATCAGCATCTATCTATCTATCTATCTATCTATCTATCTCAGCGTGTTCATATCTATCTATGCGTATCTGCATCTATCTATCTATCTATCTAAATATTTTTTTAATTATTCATATTTATCTCTATCACTTCACATCTATCTATCTATCTATCTATATATCTATCTATCTATCTATCTATCTATCTATTTAAAGTTGTTCTTCATGTATGTCTATCTATCAATCCTTCAAATCAAAGATCTCTATCCTATCGCATCTATCTATCTATCTATCTAATTTCAGTCTGTTCATATCTATCTATCTATCTATCTATCTATCTATCTGAGTTTGTCCATTATCTATGTATTTGTCTATCTTTCTCAGTTTGTTTAATATCTATCCCAATTTTTCCATTATATATCTATCACTTGCTGTTCATTATCTATCTATCTATCTATCTATCTATCTATCTATTGCAGTGTTCATATCTATCTATCTTTCTATCTATCTACCTATCTATCTATCTATCTACCTCAGTTTATTTATTATCTATCTCTCTCTATCTATCAGTTTCTTTATTATCTATCTATATATCTATCACTGGCTGTTCATTATCTGTCTCTCTATGTATAGAAGCGGAAAACGTTTTCATGTAACTCGTTTTGTCCTTTACGTTGACGCGTCTACACATGCAAGGCGGGGGAATGCTGAAGATGTTAAATTTATTTTTTAAATATATATTTTGGGTATATAGTCGAACCGATCTCATTAAGTTAGTGTGTTATTTTTGTAAAACATACGTTTTGTGTTCATATAATCAATGAATTTAAATAAACAATTATTAGCGAAATAGAATAAAAGACATCAGTCTATATTTCTGAGATGAGGTATTACATTATTGGGACTATTGTCCTCATCTTTGTTGCCATATTTATTACAATGTTCCGGCCTTACAGTATCTGTCTATATTTCTGAGATGAGGTATTATATACAATATTTACATTATTCGGACTATTGTCCTCATCTGTGTTGCCATATTTATTACAACGTTTCGGCCTTTCAGTATCTGTCTATATTTCTGAGATGAGGTATTATGTACACTATTTACATTATTCGGACTATTGTCCTCATTTTTGTTGCCATATTTATTACCACGTTTCGGCCTTTCAGTATCTGTCTCTATTTCTGAGATGAGGTATTATGTACACGATTTACATTATTCAGTCTATTGACCTCATTTTTCTTGCCATATTTATCACAGCGTTTCGGCCTATGTATGCTCTTCTTCAGGTGATTGGAATGCCGAACTGAAACCTTTATTTCTCTCGCTGGGGTAGACTGTTCTAGTTCCACATATCATCTCTAATGGATGTCAGTTATCAGTTATCTCCTGTTAATTCCTCTTTCCAAGTTCTCCACTGCCCTGACCATGTATTGTATTCACAAATCTTTGGATCCTGATCTAACCAACGTTTTTATCCACTGTGCCATGTGTCCTTAGAACAGTTTACTCCAGCGAGCGAAATAAAGGGTTCAGTTTGACATTCCAACCAACTTCATGGTTGCAAAGATCAACTACTGATAAAAAATGATCCTGGGAAATTGCAGGAGACGATCTAGAAATCTTACGCAGTATGGATAGATTGCCGTAAAGTCTTTGATAGTGTGCCACACTCTTGGATCTTTGGAAATGTAAAAGACTTTGGAACTGTAAAAGATCTCCTCAGTGAGAATAAATTTCCTTAAACACAGCACTGGAATATAGAAAACCACATTATAGCTCAATCACACCAGAGGCACTGCCACCACCAACCGCCTGATTAGACCATGTGGAAACTTACAATGACACTAAACAATAATAAATATGGATGCAAAGTAAACAAGAAATTGTTCAATCACCTACTCTAGATGGATGATCTCAAACTCTTTGCCAAAGACGACAATAATTTGAAGGGTCTCCTCCATAGTATAAAATATTTCAGTGACGACATAGGTATGGAAGTGTAAATCGGCCGAAACGTTGTGATAAATATGTATTGTAGAGTAGTTTCACAGTGGAGGCTTGTATTTCACTAAGTCGGTCCTAAAAGGGTTCGACGTACAAAACGTTAGGAACTTAATATAATAGTTAATGACGCAGCAATCTAGTTGTGGTGGCTGATACTTTAATGTCCGACATCGACTGACTCACTAACTCACTGAGCTAACTGACGACTGCTACTACTACGACTTATTATATGTGGGAGAGTCTATAGAATAGAATAGGTATGTTCCGGTATAACAATATGGCAACAAAGATGAGAATAATAGTCCGAATAATGTAAACAGTAAAAAAAATATGCTGACAATTTTAAACTTTAAATTCTTTGAGTATTCTACTTCGTGCACATGTGTAGTCACATTACTAGAAACATCACATTAGTCCGATGATGTTCTAAATGCAAAACGCGTCTCCTAAAAAAAATTTCCACTCTGTTATTGGTTTTCCTAAAATATATTTTATTATAGAATACAAATTAATTAATGTCATTTAAGGGATTTTTCTTTTTACCGAATGACATTTTCTCTTAAAAAGTTTCATTTTTAATCATTCTTATAAGTTATTGCCCAAACAAACAAGGCAATTAACTCCCTCGATCATAGCATCATTTTTCGTTGACGACTGTATCTTTTCTGTAACTGACATTTTTCAGTCGGCCATTTGCAATCGACATAGTTCTCGCATGACTTTCTTTACCGCGACAACACACGCAAGAAATGGCGCGACCATTTAAAAGAAGCAGAAATTATTTATAATTTTTTCGCTTGAATATTAAAATTTATGAATAGCGGCTTTGCACGTAAGTGTACGATAGGAGTTGACAAATATAGGTGAGATGTTAGTCACGAAAATGGGAGCGAGAACGATGGCGAGACTTCACAAAATGGAAAAGAAATGGCGCCTGGAACCAAGATTTTATATTACTCTCCCTCTCGCTTCTCTCCCTACCATCCTCCTTCCCTCCCTCTCTCTATCTCTATATTTCTCTCGTTTTCTCTCTGTCTCTCTCTCTTTCTATATCTATCTATCTACATATCTATTTGTCTATCTGTCTCAAAGTATGTAAATGATCTTTCTTTACCTCAATCATTAATCTTTTTTCTTTTTTTTGATCATTACTCTCCTTTCTTTTCTTTGATCATTACTCTCCTTTCTTTCCTTTAATCATTACTCTCCTTTCTTTTCTTTGATCATTACTCTCCTTTCTTTCCTTTGATCATTAGTCTCTTTTCTTTGGTCATTTCTCTCCTTAATTTTCGTTAATTATTACTTCCCTTTCTTTTCTTTGATCATTACTCTCCTTTCATTTCGTTGATCATTAATCTTCTTTTCCTTTCGTTGCTCTCAGTAATACTTTGTCTTCGTTGTACCTGTTCCGCCATCCATTTACTCGAAATTATCAAGTAGATTACCCACCGCTTTCCCCTGCTTCGTTTTGTCTTGGAAGTATCAACTTCTCTAAGGCTTCTTTCCTCAGCATGTGTCGAAACATTTTCAGCTGTTTCTTGCTGATCCGATTGTCCTTAAAAACAAGTTACTCCATCTGTCTTACTCTCAATATTCGTCGCTAAAGACAGTACGTAAATGATAATTACTCTCCACGATTTCCTTTCTGCTATTGTTCTCAACAATGGTTTATCACTGTAACACCTGTTTCGTCATCCATTTACTCAAAATTATCAAGTAGTTTATCCACTGCTTTCCCCTGGTTCTCTTGGCCAGTTTTTGTTTTTTTTTATTGAGAGTATCAAATCCTCCAAGTCTTCTTTTCTCATCATGTGTTTAAAAGTTTCCTGCTATTTCTTAAAACTTGTTTCTCCGTCTGCGTTACTCTAAACATTCGTCGCTAAAACAGTTTTTGAAGAACTGGAGCAAGAAGTTTGACTTATATACAGGCTTTCTTGTTCTCAATATATTGCTTCGTTTTTGAAAGGCATATTTCGCTATTCTGATGAGTGACTTCGCTTCTACATTTTATTGTCTGTTAAGTATGTGCGTGTAGTACAGTATCGGTATGATCAATGGCCTGGCATCAGCGAGCCGAATTCAAATTCCATTCGAAGCTTTGAGGATCAAATGCTCTTTGGTGCAGTTATGAATCCATACCAGAGACAACTACTACGGCATTGGTGGTCGTGTAATTAAAACATTCACTTTCCTGCCATAGGAACTGAGTTCGAGAGACACCGGGGTCAGGTTGTCAGGGAAGTGATTTCTTGATGTTAGCAACCTGCAGAGGCGATCCTAGCGTGAACCACCGTCGTAAAGTGCCTGAAAAGCATCCCACGATTCGGTCCAGGCCGTATGAGTAAAATTGGGTATACGGAAGTATTCAGTACAGGTCAATAGTTGTGTTAGCTAGCTAATAGATAGATAGATAGATAGATAGATAGATAGATAGATAGATAGATAGATAGATAAACAAACTGACATAGATAGATAGATAGATAGATAGATAGATAGATATGAACAAACTGGGGTTGTATGGATAGATAATGAACAGACTGGGATTAGATAGATAGATAGATAGATAGATAGATAGATAGGCTGTTCATTATCTGTCTAATTATTTATGTATAGAAGTGGAATATTTTTTCATGAGTCGTTTCATTCTTTACGTTGATTGCGACTACACATGCACACAATGGCGGGGGAGTGCTGAGGATGGTAAATTTATTTTTAAAATGTATATTTTGGGTATATAGTCGAGCAGAAAGAAAGAAAGAAAGAAAGAAAGAAAGAAAGAAAGAAAGAAAGAAGGAAAGAAAGAAAAAAGAAAGAAACCAACAAACAAAGAAACAAAAATGCTACATGGAGAAAGAAAGAAAGAAAGAAAAGAAAGAAAAGAAAGAAAGAAAGAAAGAAAGAAAGAAAGAAAGAAGGAAAGAAAGAAAGTCATCGTGACCGATGTTGTGTGCGTCCGTGCACCATTCAAATTGTTGGCCACACCAGGTTATAAACCCTCTCCAAGAAATTGTTACTGCCATCCATTAGTTCTCGGTTGTGATATCAATGGTGGCGATGTGATTAAAATATTCTTTTTAAGACCACGAGAAACGAGTTCGAAACACACCATGGACAACTTCTCAGGCAAGCGAGTTCTTCAGATTATCAGTCTGGAGAGGAGATCCCAACGTGGGTTACCCTTTTGCAGGTTATTTAAAGCTAGAATAATTATTTAGATTGTAAGCCTTACTAATTAACCCATAGCTGGGGGAAGAGAGGCGGAATCACAACTTTTTGCAAGATTATTTGCGCGTAAATAAATATATCGAACCCAACTGAGATTAAAACTCAGCTTTCAGATTAACAATTTCTAGCCATTATCCTTAACACACCCGCACGTCCAAGTTTACAGAACCGTTTATTGGCAAGCTGTCACTCATCAAGGTAATGACCAGGTTCGACATTGCTTAACTTCGGTGATTGTACGGAAACCGGTGTTTGGACATGATGTGCTCGAAAAAGCAAGAACTGTGATAAATGAGGATGCTTAAAACAGAGAGAGGGAGAGAGTTGAAAAATGAAAGAGCAGTGAAGTGAAAGAAAGAAAGAAAAAAAGAAAGAAAGAAAGAAGCTACAAAGAGAAAAAGAAAGAAAGAAGCTACATGAAGAAAGAAAGAAAGAAAGAAAGAAAAAAGAAAGAAAGAAAGAAGCTACAAAGAGAAAAAGAAAGAAAGAAGCTACAAAGAAAAGAAAAGAAAAAAGAAAAGAAAGAAAGAAAAAACAAAGAGAAAAAGAAAGAAAGAAGCTACAAAAGAAAAGAAAAGAAAAAAAGAAAGAAAAAAAAGAAAGAAAAAGAAAGAAAGAAGAGACATGAAGAAAGAAAAGAAAGAAAGAAAGAAAGAAAAGAAAGGAAGAAAAAAACAAAGAGAAAAGAAAGAAAGAAGCTACATGAAAAAAGAAAGAAAGAAGAAAAGAAAGAAAGAAAAAAAAGAAAGAAAAGAAAGAAAACAAAGAAAAAAAAGAAAGAAGCTAATGAAAAGAAAGAAAGAAAGAAAAAGAAAGAAAGAAATTGCCAAAAAAAGAAAGAAAGAAAGAAATTTAAAAGAAAGAAAGAAAGAAAGAAAGAAAGAAAGAATATAAAAAAAGAAAAAGAAAGAAAAAGCTACATGAAAAAAGAAAGAAAGAAAGAAAGAAAGAAAGAAAGAAGCTTACTAAAGAGAAAAAGAAAGAAAGAAGCAAACATGAAGAAAAAAGAAAGAAAGAAAGAAAGAAAGGAAGAAAGAAGCTACAAAAGAAAAAGAAAGAAAAAGCTAAAGAAGAAAAAAGAAAAAAAGAAAGAAAGAAAGAAAGAAAAAAAAAAAGAATAAAAGAAGCTACAAAGAGAAAAAAAGAAAGAAAGAAGCAACAGAAGAAAAAAGAAAGAAAGAAAGAAAGAAAGAAAAGCTACAAAAAGAAAAAGAACTGAAAAAAGAAATGAAGAAAAGAAAGAAAGAAAGAAAGAAAAAAAAAAAGAAACAAAAGAAAGAAAGAAAAAAAGGTAAAATAAGCTAAAGGAGAAAAAAAAAAAAAAGAAAGAAGCTAATGGAGAAAGAAAAAAAGAAAAGAAAAAAAAAAAAGAAAGTAAAAAATGAAAAGAAAAAAATAAATAAGCTAGAAAAGAAAAAAAAAAAAGAAGCTAAGGAAAAAAGAAAGAAAGAAGCTACATGAAAAAAGAAAGAAAGAAAGAAAGAAAAAATTACAGGGAAAAAAATTCAAAGAAAGAAGAATAAAAAAAGAAAAGAAAGAAAAAGAAGCTACAAAGAAAGAAAAGAAAGAAAGAAAGAAAGAAAAAGAAAAAAGAAAGAAAGAAAGAAGCTACAGAAAAAAAAAAAGAAAGAAAAATGAAGAAAGAAAGAAAGAAAGAAAAAAAAAGAAAGAAAGAAAGAAAGAAAGAAAGAAAGAAAGAAAGAAAGAAAGAAGCTACATGGAGAAAGAAAGAAAGAAAGAAAGAAAGAAAGAAAGAAAGAAAGAAGCTACATGGGAAAGAAAGAAAGAAAGAAAGATAGAAAGAGAAAAAAAAAGAATAATTGCCCTGCACTGATGCAGACACGTCCCAGATATTTGCTGAAATCTCTTCCTTTTCTGTTCGGCTTTTTTTTAAACAATAAAATCCAAATTTAGCAACAAAATTAGCGAAACTACTTTTCTCTAAAAGCAAAATTTTCTTCAAAAGCGCATTCAAAAAAAATTTCACGCATGCGTGCATCTGCACATATAGATGCCAAATGTGCAGAACTGATTTGCAAGCTTGTATAAACATTTTCAGTACATGCAAACATGTTTGGTTTAAAATTTGCATTCTCTTCAAGTTTCAACTGCACAGCCATTCTTCTATTTGCCGTGTCGCTTCCGGCCATTGGCTATCATGGCTCTCCACAATTTCCTATCCTTTGTAGCTCGAAATAATTTTTTTTTTTTGCTATCTCTCCCAAAACCTGCTCCAACATTTATTCACTCACCCTCGCCGAGTCGTTGCTTTCCTCCCTCTGTCTTACCTTCAATCTGTCCTGTGTGTATCAAATTTCCAAGCCTTCTTTCCTCATTATGTGACCCAGTTGAACGTTAATAATTCTTATGTCTTGTTTTCATTAATCTTATTTCTCCTTTCCATCACAAAAATTCCGATCATTACATTTTACGACCGTTTTAATCAAACTTTATTATTCCCGATCCATATTACGTTTTATAATGAAAAATTGAATTAAGATGAACAACTTTTTTGTTTATGATGAAAATACTAGGGCACTTTACTGGGTGCTCTCTATTTCCGGCCTTGTGCCACATGTGAGCTATGCTTAGTAAATCGTTATAATCAAAATACTTCATTTAAAATATGTACATTTTAAAAAGATGAAATAAAAGAAAAACTATTTTCGAAAAATGAAATGGAAACAATTTTTTTTTTTTAAATGAAACGAAAGGAAAACATATTTTTTAAAAAGTGATAATGAAAATTAATCTATTTAAGAAATTATGATATTATTTTAATTACGGACAATTGAACTAATATCCTTATCACAAAATGACAGTACAGTGAATTAAAAAAAAACTTTGTTAATATCTCATAAAATTGATTTGTTGAATAATAGTTTCACTTTATTATTTTTTATTGGCAGTGTATTTTGGCTCAGACCATCTAAGGCTGATCTTTAAGGTCAGATGGTAGATAAAACAGGGATGTCGATTTTGATTGGCTGAGCCGAACGTGGGAATGTTAGAGTTAGAAAGTGTTTTCAGGGAGTTAAGTTTTTACACACCTCATTCTTCGACGTGGTTATTTCGTGTCTCGGGAAACTGAATAAAAAAGGGGGAAGGAAACAACCCCTGACTAGTTAGAAGATGCACACGTCGACTTGTTTAATAAATTAAATAAGTTCAGATTTCCTTTTATTGAAGTTCTCATTTTACCTCCGAATAAATCAACTCGCGATCAGTCGGTCGAAAGAAAAGCAAAAGAAGATGCAACGTTATGAGTGAGACTGTCAACCAAAAAAACCTCCCCCACAACAGAGGGAGTATGCAACATATAGATTTGTTTTTTAAGGCTTATCGACCCTTACAAGTTATTTAAAGCCGGAAACTATTTCTAGATTGTAAGGTTTTTTAGATAACAAGGATCTTACTAATTAACCCATATCTGGGGGAGAAGAGGTGGATTCATGGTCATTTGCACGTAAGTGGATATAACTAACCTAACTGGAATTGGAACTCGGCTCTCAGATTAAACAATTCCGTGTTATCCAATACCGGTATTCCCAAGCCTTCACCCATCTAGGTACTGACTAAGATCGACGTTGCTTAACTTCCGTGATCGTATGGACATCGATGTTTCAACGTGATTTTGTCGTAAGCGAGTTTCTTAAAACATCCTTCGAATAGGTTTTAAGCATGTTTTCGGTCCAAGGCAGATCACTGAACCTTTTCAAAATCTATCTAAATAAACATATATATATATATATATATATATATATATATATATATATATATATATATATAAAAAAAAACAGTAAGATATAAAATCCGGTGTTCTTATAGATATTTTATTTTTACAAAATAGTGCTCAATGTAAATTTACAGAGCATTAATATTATAAATTAATTGATTTAAAATATGGTTTTATCATTATAATTAAAAACCATGTTTCAAAAATAAAAACTAAAAAAATAAATTTAATTCAAAATTAAATTATTCATTAGTTCATTTCATCTTCCAAGAAAATAATAAATACTTGAAGATGAAATGGATATAATTATTTTTTAATTTAATTGCAAAATTAAATTCGAGATTCTATTTTTGAAACATATTGGAACGGTGTATAAAAAAAAATATTTTTATAAATTAATTTAAATCATATATAATATATATATATATATATATATATATATATATATATATATTATGAATGGAAAATTATGAAAAAGAATTATTGACACAAAAGACATTTGGCCCCAAAATATATTTTTTTTATTGATAAAAATATTTAAGTAATTTATTATAAACAAAGAAAAAACTTAAATATTTGTATCTATAAAAAAGGAAATATAAAGTTTTAAAAATGTCTCAAAAATCTATATATATATAATGTGTGTGTGTGTGTGTGTGTGTGTAAATCTGTGCAAAAGTAAAAAAATTTACAATTAGTGAAGAAATCCAAACGATTTACATCCATACAGATGATCATTTCGTCCATAGGAAAGTGGTTTTCCCTGGACTTATCAATCCAAATATATTTACTAAAATGAATAAACCGTTTCTTCACAGGAAATTTCAAAAGCAAAGGAAGGAAAAGATATAAAAAAAAGGGAGAATAAAAAAGAGGGCAAAAAATTGAACTATGATAGAGGAAGGAATATATATATATATATATATTTGAAGAGAGAGAAAGAGAGAAGGGATAAGGGACCTAAAATGATTTGGTGGAGTCGGGGTACAGATTCGAACGGTGAAATTTTTTAAACTAAAAAAACCAATTAAATATAGAATATTTCGCCTATTCTTAATTGTTTTTTAACTACTAATTTTTTTAATATATTGAATCACAACCTCCTCTTGTTTTATTGATCAAACTGGTTTTTACCCATTAACTTCCTTTGTTATTCTTCTGTGATCCATTCGCACAAACTCAATGAAACTATTCACACTTTCTCCAGCTTCTCCTTCCTTCAGTATGCCCTTTGAGTAGTAAATTCTCCAAGCCTTCTTTCCTATTCTATTGCGTCTTCAGATTTCGGTGTCACAGTTTCCCTCCCCTGTTAAAACACTTCCCAGATACTGAAACACCAATAACTGTTTCATATTTTGTTCGTAGCTGACATCTTTGGCCATACATCCTATTTCTACAATTGACGATTTGTCCTTTCTTGCTGCTTGCTTTTACTCCCTTGCCCAGAAAGGATCGCTGTTTTATTACAGTTAATTCTCGGTATGACGATAAAGTACATCCAGCAGCAAGGCCTCTGATCGGAAGGACTAGAGAAGCGTGGAGCCACCTGTTAATTATTGTCGTTCCCAGGTCCATCCTGACTCGGCGTGGTTAGGGTTTCCGCTAGACTTTAACAAAAAGCAAACACTGTGAAATTATAGAAAAAAACTTGATAGTAAAAATGCCCAACATGTTATAGCAAAATGACCAACAAATTATAGGGTCTGTAGTTGAAGACGTTCAAAATATATTTAATTCGAGCAAAAAAATCGTTCAAAACATTTAGAGATTCATATAAAGCAAAGCAAAATCAACCAACCAACATGAATTAATATGTCTATATCTCTGAGATGAGATATTATGATTACTCACTTACATTATTCGGACTGTTATCCTCATCTTCATTGCCATATTCACAACGTTTCTGTCTCTATATCTCTGAGATGAGGTATTATGATTACTCACTTACATTATTCGGACTGTTATCCTCATCTTCATTGCCATATTCACAACGTTTCTGTCTCTATATCTCTGAGATGAGGTATTATGATTACTGTTGTGGTACGATCCACCTAATTTACATAGTGGAGTACCGACCATATAAATATGGGTTGGTACCGGGAAGACGAGGGAAGTAACAAGAGATCCAATCCAGAGACACTGCCCGACTGCGATTAAGTCAACCCATTCTACAGGAACGGTCTTCCCAAGAATATACCAAAACTCTCTATAAATATTGTGTACACTTTCTTTGTTCAATACATTTTGTTTCAGTACATTTTGTGTTGTATTATTATTATTCCATGCTTTATTCAAGTTTCAACAATTACTTACATGATTTACATTATTCGGACTGTTATCCTCATATTAATTGCCATATTCACAAGGACACATGGCCCAGAGGATAAAGACGTTGGTTAGATCAAGAGGACTAGCTTCTATTGATATAATGGCTGTATATATCTGTGAGATGAGGTATTATGATTACTTACATTATTCGGACTGTTATCCTCATCTTCATTTCCATATTCACAACGTTTCGGCCGTTGTACACTCCGGCCTTTATGCCTATGTCTCTCTATATATCTGTCTATATCTCTGAGATGAGGTATTATGATTACTTACATTATTCTCATATTCATTGCCATATTCACAACGTTTCGGCCTTTGTACGCTACGTCCTTCTTCAGGTGATTGGAATTACAAAAAAAAACAATGTTCCTAGCAACTGGAATTTAGAGAAACGCGATATTCATATTGTTAACTGAAAATAACGTCAGTATTTGTCACGTGTTTCTGTTTTTTGTTTTTATTAGTTACCTTGTTCACTTAAATTCATTTCGTATTTTGCTTTGATAAAGTCCACATTGGACGAAACACGTCAGCAATTACTAGTTTTCCTATTGTCATTTTTATTACTAAATACTTTATGTTCAGAAAAGAAATCACTTACATGAACATAAGAAACATTGAATAAAAAAACTTAATCGTTGTACCTTGTCAGTCGTCTTTAATGAAACCTGTATAAAAGAGGGATTGCTACCAAAATACCTATTAATATATATGTGCGTGTGTGTGCGTGTGTAAAAAATCCAGTGTAATTTTCTGAGTGTATCTGTAAAAAGGACAACATGAATAAAGACAAAACGAAAACTTATCTTAGCTGACGCAATTAATCCTCTGAGGGATAAATGCATTTGCCGTGATAAAGTCATTCAAAGGATGAAACACATCAGCTAAGATAAGTTTACTTTTGGTCTGTATGCGTAACGACACACACGGCACGGTGGAGTAATGGATAGCGGCTTTGGGTTGAAACAGTCGGCGAGACGAGTTCGAATTCCAGTCGAATTCACTTACGTGCTAATACGATTGGGAATCCTCTTTTTCTCCCTCCAGCTATGGGTAAATAGCAGGACAGACTGGGTTCTATAGCCTTGGATGGCAACTGGTCTAGAAGAAGGACAACTCTGAATTTAAAACCTGCAGAGGGTCGTTTGGGGACCTTGTGTGGCACGTAGTGCACCAGGTCTCTGTATTCGGCCCTTCAAAAAGCGCGGATGGTCCTGCACGAAACCTTTACCACTATAATCAAATCTCATGTGTTGCTGTCGGTTTCCTAGGAACTGATCTGCTTGACCCTCATACGTCGAATTCAACGGGAGAGTCGAGTATATATATTAGTAGATACACATATACCTACGTTTGGTGTGCGACTCGAGTTTCGTTCGTTGCCCAACTATATATATATATATATATATATATATATATATATATATATATATTAGCTCTGTCTAATTACATTCAGAGATTGAGCACTATTACGTCTACACAACTTGGCTAAATTTGGTAATTATTTACTTGCTTACCAGCGGATGCAGGCCAACATGCGCGTATACGGTCGCTAATATCTAGTTATTTCATTTACCTAACCCTATACATAAAGCATCGGATTGCTAAAGGTTCCAGTGCTTTCGGCCAACTTCGCCATCGCTTGTGGAATGAGCGGGGTATTCGACTGGATACGAAAATTCGGGTTTACAGAGCTGTTGTGCTTACCATTCTTTTGTATGGCTCAGAGTCATGGATTCCATATAGATATCATATTAGCCAGCTAGATGTTTTCCATAATAGCTGTCTGCGTGCAATCTGTGGAGTTAACCTTCAAGATACGACATTTAACGAAGACCTGTTTAACAAGTGTAATATTGGAGGAATCGAGACTTTTATCATACAGTCTCAGTTACGGTGGACTGGTCATGTCTTGAGAATGTCTGATGACAGGATACCCAAGATCCTAATGTACAACCAGTTAGATCAGGGCTACAGGAATGTAGGACACCCATGACTAAAATACAAAGACAAGCTGAAAAGCAACTTGTCAGCAGTTAATATACCACATAACACCCTTGAGCGCTTAGCCTTGGAGCGGGTAGAATGGAGATCAACGTGCTTTAGTGGACTCGGCAGTTTTCAAACTGCTTGTCTAAATCATCTTCAAGAAGAGAGAGCAAGATTTAAAAGGTCAGCCAATCTAACAGTGATCTCATCTCACAATCCTCACACTTGCTCCATATGTGGCCTCCTTTGTAAATCACTAGCGGGTCTTAAATGCCACTTAAGATTATCGCACAAAATTTCATAACTGAATAAACTAAGCTGTCAGATTCTCATACGTCGAAGCCGACGGGAGAGTCCATTATATATATATATATATATATATATATATATATATATATATATATCGTGTCTCGAAGATTCATATAGTAATTCATCGTGTCTAGATTCTTCTAGGCTCGATGAGTTACTATATGATTATTGTAATTCCTCAAAATTATATCACTTGTATATCCTTGCTTGGCCCGTCTAATGCTCTGCGATGAAGCGGCTAAGTGGAAAAGAAAGACGTGGCTCTTGGGACACAACCCGTTGGGTTATGAATACTTGGATGAGTATCACGACGGAATTTGTGAATAGCGGCGCTATATCAAGACTGTCCAGTTTCTTTTTCGTATGACGCTTGCTTTTGTATCGTAACGGTCCGGGTTCGATTCTCGATAGTGGATGCGCACTGCTGATGAGTCCCAAATAGGACGAAATGGCCATAGAGTTCTTTCTAGATTCTGTTGAGGATTCTTCTAGACACAATCGATTACTATATGGTTATTCTAATTCCACAAAATTCTTTCATTTTCACACACACACGCACACACACACATATGTTTACATAATATATATATATATATATATATATATATATATAATGTGATATAATCAAATATAAATAACATTGACGACATTCCGAATGTTTAATATTGTCACAGGATTTTTCTCTTGGTTTATACGATATTAAAAGGAACTGGATAAGCTCCGAATGAAATATTTAAAAGATACCGAATCATATTTTAATCACATATACTGAAAAGAATTCAGACTGAAATCCACGTAAATAGGACTGCGCATGTGCGTGCCTGTGTGTGGCACACATTCAAGACCGACTCCATGGACGGTAATTTTAACAAATACTTTGCGTGATTCAGCAGAACGAATAATAGTAATTAATAATTAATAACTTGGGGATAATTAGTTTTCGCTGAAAGAGCGCACCTGCTATTCGCATCAATATTTGCTGAGCAAGATGATGTATTTTCGAAATTGATTTAAAGACGGGGAAAAATAAAAGCAAAACTGACAAGTTGGATTTTTGATGGAACTATATCTGTAGATTGATATTTATTCAGTTTGGTGAGAAAGAAAGAAAGAAAGAAAGAAAGAAAGAAAGAAAGAAAGAAAGAAAGAAAGTCTCCAGATAGATATATGGATAATTATATTTACAGAAACGGACTGGTTAATTTTCAAAAAAGAAAATATTTTGATAGATAGATAGATATGATAGATAGATAGATAGATAGATAGATAGATAGATAGATAGATAGATTTGAAGAGACGAGATAGATAGATAGATGATAGATTTGAAGAGACGAGATAGATAGATAGATAGATAGATAGATAGATGCGAAGCGATAGAGAGAAAGATTTGAAGCGATTGATAGATAGACATACATGAAGCAACTGAAAAATAGATAGATAGATAGATAGATAGATAGATATATAGATAGATAGATAGATAGATGTGAAGTAATAGAGAGAAAGATATGAAGCAATTAAAAAATCGTTAGATATATAGATAGATAGATAGATAGATAGATAGATAGATAAGAAGAGACTGGAAGATAGATAGATAGATAGATAGATAGATAGATAGATAGATAGATAGATAGATAGATAGATAGATAGAGGAACAAAGAAACAAACAAGCAACTGACCAAAAAAGAAAGACTAACTAAAAAAAAGGAAAAGGTAAAAAAAGATACAAAGAAAAAATAACAAACGAAAGAGAAAAAAAAAGGAAAGAAAGAAAAAAAAATTTAAAATGGAGAAAGCAGCAGATTTCAATAAATTCTCGATATAAAAAAGAAAAACAATTATGAAGTTCTCCAAGTAAAACAGAACAAACGGGAAAAAAGCGAGAAAAGTAAATATGTATGTATGTAGAGAAGGTCATTTGCCGACGTCGCATCTTGGATAATTGAAAAAGCCCACTTTTTCACAGGCTGTCTCTTTATCTTGAAAAGAGTATTGCCTGCGGCGTTTTGTCCGTCTATCAGTCGAATGAGTTGCGGGGGAGGGGGAACAGAAATCTTCAAGTATTCTCAAGATGGTAGGCGAAATACAACGATGATGATAAAATAAATGAGGAAAAAAGTGTTTTTATTGCAAAAACACTGCTTTTACCTGAGACACGTCCATACTAGATTGAAACCCACTGTGCAAAATGACAAACTTAAACATGAATACACACGTGCAGCAACAGAAATAAGTATTAACAAACAGGTTTTCCAATATTTTTCGGGGAAAATATACGATAAATTGTTGCAGATAAAAGCAAAGAAGAAAATACTTTTTTCTAAGAAAGAGAAATCTATTATTATTAATGTTGTTCATTTTTCAGTCGTATTTCTGCCGGATTAAATTTAAAAAAATAAATATTTTGGTTGTTTCCTTCTCTGGCATTCAGTATTACCTCTGTTCTTTTAAGGAAAGGATTTATGGAGACGGATACTAATTTCATAATCTTTCCTTAGTCTGGCACAAGACTTCATTAGTAGAGCGCCGAATCGATTTCAGCGCAATAACTAATTTGATATACGAACCCGAGTTCCGTAAGCAATTAAGGCCGTAGATTCATTATATGTACCGCATCTATACTGTCTTGGGTATGATAGTCTGACGGCGCCCAATCCTCTCCAGGATGGTTTGAATTCAGTGTTTTCTTTCTCTCAGTCTCGTTGCTAACCAAAACCTAGTCTGTTTTGCTATGGTTATGGTCCAGGTTAGGACCAAGGAAGAACAATCCGAACACAAGAGTAGAAATAACGAAGGTATATTACACGAAATAATAATACAAGATGTAGAATATTTTAGTATGACTGTCAGTCTGGTTTGGAGTGAACTACTATTGGCTCGACTCGATTCGGTATCTAGCCACCCCCCACGAGGGTTGCATGTGGCACAAGGCCTAATTTAACGTGGCTTTTCCGAGCCCGTAGGCTCGGCCAAAAAAATGCCCGTAGAATCCGTAGAACCCGTATAAACAGGATCGGGTTGGTCAACCTCCCCGAACGAGACTCTGCCCTTCGGCGGAGCCTCGTCCGGGTTCCTCTCTGCTCAGAGACAGAGAGTTCGACCGTCAAGACGAGAAGCTCGGCTCGATTCGACCCTCTCTCTTGAGAGGCGTAGTATACATAGTGTTAGGAAGAGTTCATTCTGTAGTTATAGGTAAGGACCCATGACAGATATTTAACCCATAGAGATGGATTCATGTCTTTCTCAAGGGAATTTGTACATAACTAAATCTAATGAACTCGACTGGAATTCAAACTAGGCTCTCAAATTTCTTATTTCGAGCCGCTATCCACTACACCACCCTGTAGTCATTCACTAGACCGCCCGAACATCCAGTCTCGGAGATCCTTAATAATTCTCTTAGTAAAAACTTGAATGCCCGGAAAGCTTGTTAAAATCACTTAGACTAGTTCCTGCGAAAAGTCTTAGAGCATGGAAGCATGAAGCTGAAGACAGCAAAAATTACAGCAAAGATATATGGTTGAATAAATCTATATAGAAACATCTAAACATGGTCTTTGGAATTCACTTAAAACACGCTACGAACGTTTGTCTCGACCCAATATTTTACATACTTGAATTTTAGAAACCTTCATATTGGAATATGTCCAGTAATAGATTTTCCCTTTTTTCCCTTGGTGGTCTATCAACAATGGAACGATTAATGATTACAACAGATCTCAACTGTTGAACCAGCGAATAAAGAGGGCTACGCATGACAGACATGTTACAGAAGGCGTCACTCGAAATTATAACAGAGTCATCGGCAGTCCGTTGCAGTTTCATAAATGGATTCTGCATGCCTCATTTCATATCTGCCACAGAGGAAGGTTGAATAGTTTTCCCATTTCGCAGATAGTCTATAATGATTCTGCCATCAGAATCCCCAAAAACAGAATTCTTGATGTTGCCTGCTTGAACCTCCTCGGGGGTGGAGAACCAGAGTGTTTCCACTGTTTGCTTTGAATCTTTGATTCATGTTCCAAGTGGTCATCTTGAGTTACTAATCTGTGGTAGAAATTCTCAGGGTCAGTTTTGAAGCGAATCAGAATTGTCCTTGTAATGGCAACCCTTTTCAGCTTCTGCTCTGATGTCAGCATTCTCGGGGACCCATCTTGCAGACAGTTTACTCATCCCCAAGACCACAGTATAGACCGAACCAAAACTAATGCCTATGGACTTAGCCATCTGCTGAACAGTAAGACATCTGTCATCCAAAACCATACTCTGAATGGCATTAACTTTTTCATCGGTGGTTGGACGACCTGATCAACGGCCCTCTTCTGTGCCGTTCCTGACCCTCTTGAATAAAGCCGCCCAGTCCTTAACAGTTTCATAGGAGGGGGATTCCTCATCAAGTGTCTGTAACATGTCCTCATAGATTTCCTTGGGGGTCATACCATCCTTTTGCAGATAGTGGTTGTGTGTTGCCATTACAAAAATATTAAGCTATGGCTCCTTATTCTGGGTGACCCTTTGAAACTTTTGGACGATCCTTGTATATATGCATTTAATTTTAAGCAGATTTAAGGAAAATATTGTATAATCAGACCCATCTTCTTCTGCGTGTCGTGTCCTTTCAGGGCGTAGATGACCATCGTTCTCCACAATTTCCTGAATTTTGTAGCTCTTGTTAAAATGTGTCTTTTATTCTATCTCTCCTTGTTTTGCCAGCCATTTACACAATCTCGTTAGGCAAGTTATGTACTGCTTTCAAATGTCCCTCTTGTTTTCAATACGTCCTGTGAGTGTCGAATTTTCCGAGCGCTCTTTTCTCATTATGTACCATAGAAATTTCAACTATTTTTAATTGTAAGTGGCCTTTACGTTTCGTGAAACTTCGTCGTTGCTCACAGGTTTAATCCATAGTATTTCCAGCACCTTTATATAAAACCACATTTCTGTTACCTCACTGTGAGGCGATTGGTCAACATTTATTTCCCCAGAGGAAGACCACTTGAAAAATTTTTTATAAGAGACTGTTTGTCATGGATACATTATAAACCTTTTTTTTCTTACTTAAGGTTACTAATTCTATAATCTAAAAGGTTATGTAGACAAAAAGTTATAATCCGATCAATTTATTCAGAAATGGACATTATAAAATGAGGCGTTTTACATTTGATCAGAATTACTAGGGGGTGTAAATTATTAGCGCTAAGGTAATTTTAATGTTTTTAGTTCAGTCAAAGATTAGCAATCACTGCGTAAATGTGTCACCATGCCTAAAGCAAGCAAACTTACCGAAGTTGAGCATGCTCGAATTCTAGATTTCCTTAATCAAGGTTTGTCACAGCGGGCGATCGTAGCTAAGGTAAATCGCAGTAAAACTGTGATTTGCAACTTTCTAAAGGACAGTGCGAATTATGGAAATGCAAAATCCACTGGTAGGTCCCAAAATATTTCTCCGGCATTGAGTAGGAAAATAAGACGGGTTGTTGTGAAAGCCAGTGGACTTTCTTCTAGTCAAATTAAGGCAGCCACAGATGCTGATTGCAGTCCAGTAACCATCAGACGACACTTACGACAAAAAGGCATGGTAAATAAAAAGCGCAAACAAATTCCTCGACTGCTTCCACGTCACAAAGTGAACCATTTAAGGTTTGGTCTTGAATACCAAACATGGGACATTGAGAAGTGGAAGAAAGTCCTGTTTTCTGATGAGAAAAATTCAATCTAGATGGTCCTGATGGCTTCGAAGGATATTGGCATAATAAAAAACATGCCTCCTGAAATTTTCTCCACACGTCATAGTGGTGAAGGGTCCCTAATGGTATGGGGTGCCTATTCTTACAGATGGAGCTCCAGGTGGTGCATGGTCGTCAGACAGCAGTTGGTTATGTTAGCATGCTACAAAAAGCATCGTTGGTGATGGAGGGCCATCATTTGTGTGGGGATGGATGGTTATTCCAACAGGATAATGCTGCAATCCACGCTGCATACCGGACCTTGACCTTTCTACAAGAAAATGGGGTCCATCTCTTGAGACATCCTGCATGCTCACTGGACTTGAACCCAATTGAAAATGTTTGGGGATGAATGGCAAAAGATGTTTATCGAAATGGCAAACAATATTCAACAAAAAAAATGAACTTCGTGAAGCTATCTTCAGAAGCTGGAGCAATATTCCTCGCAGCTTAATGGAAACACTAATTTCTAGCATGCCCCAAAGAATTTTTGAAGTCATCAAAACCAGTGGAGGTAGAACTCATTATTAAATTTGGTTGTTAAATTTTTTCGTACACTTTTCGTACAATTTCGTAGAATTTTTGTCTCTGCTCTTATAATTTTGATCAAGTGTAAAACGCCCCATTTTATAAAAATGTCAATTTCCCAGTAAAATGTTCAGATTATAACTTTTTGTCTACATAACCTTTTAGATTATAAAATTAGTAACCTTAAGTTAATGTTTAACTTTTTAAAAGAAATTTTCAAGTTGTCTTAAATTTTTGATCAGAAATGTATAGTCCTTTCTTTTTGTTTCTATTTACTGCATTCTACCGGAGTTTATGTAGTTCCATTATCATTAAACATGTTTAAGAAACATTGTGTGATCGCCTTAGGATTAGAATAAGAACAGAAAAATGGCAGTAAATACCCAAGTCTCGCTGAATCAATTCGCGCTTGCGTCGTATAATCGTTTCGTTGGAATAGATATTTATTCGTACGATTTTACAAAATGTGGCACAGGGCCAAAAAGGAGGATTGGGGAAAAGGACGGTCTTCTTCTGTCTTAATTTCTCAATTTAGCTAGTCACAAACATTGACCCAAATATACCAACAATAGTCCTATCACCAAAACAACACATTATCTCTTACCTTTCTTACAACATTCACCGTAATACCACAATGTCTCTATGAAATCCTAACTAGTCCCCATATGTACATTTCAAAGTCTGGTGGGAGGGGAATAAAAACAACAATTTAAAAAAAACCCAATGATTATTTACAATATGAATTAATACTATTTATATGAAAACAAAACAAGGTTAGTAATAAAAAAAAACGCACTCTAAAGACTAAATCTGAATTACTATCAGTATATCTAGGGTAGTGATAATATCACATCACTGAGCGAGAGGCTTCATAGACTGAAGTCATATTCTTTCATTATCAGTAATCCTTTGCTTTTTAGTGAATTCATTGCCTTGCTTGGGGTGAAATGG